AAAAAAAAGATACAAGGCACAGCTACTGTACATACAACGGTGAAGTCGGCACCTCTGTCCATACATGTGTTCACAACGCATACAATAACCACACAAAGCGTATACGCACTCTGCTGGCTCTACTTTTGGAAGCAAGTTATCTGACAAGTTGGTACAATACATCAAACAAATAAATACATACATATACAGTACATACATATAGAAAACGAAGGCTAAACACAAATCATCCTCAACCCTCTATTTATTAAGCTGTGAGTCCATCACACAGATTTTACTGGATTTATTTGCGGTAGGTAGGCAGGTAGCATTTCAAGCTTTGACGTCTTTTTTTTTAATTATTATTATTATTATTATTATTTTCGTCTGAACAAGAAATAATTTAAACAAACATTTATTTCCATGTGTTTCTTTTTCCTCTAAATCTAGACAGAACTGTACAGAATGCTCTTTTTTTTACGCACATAAGCATTACCACGGTGGAAATCAAAAGGAAATAATATTAAGGAATATAATGGGGCTGTTGTCGGACAAACAGAAGGCTGACAGGTGGGCTCCTCTGTCCCGCTCACAGCCCGTTAACGAGTCTCTGCGCTTTTCTTTTTTTTTTCTTTCTCTTTCTTTTTTTTATCATTTGGAATAGGAGGAGAAGTTGATATGACAATCTTTATTTTTGTAGTGCTCGCTATCAGTTGGATATCAAGGCCTGTAGGCTCCTCCGCCTGCAGCAGCCATGCTCATGCTTTTCAGCTTGTTGTCCTTCTTCCACTTCATCCTGCGGTTCTGAAACCAGATTTTGATCTGTCTCTCGGAGAGGCAGAGGGCATGGGCGATCTCGATCCTCCGCCTGCGGGTCAGGTACCGGTTGAAGTGGAATTCCTTCTCCAGCTCCAGGGTCTGGTACCGAGTGTATGCAGTTCTGGCTCTCTTCCCCTCCGGTCCAGACAAATCTTGTGCAGAAAAAAACCAACAACATAGGGTTGAAACACACCACACACAGTAGATGCAAAATTAAATTAGTGCACCAACTTTTTTTCTTTTTGGGAACACATTTCTGGCATTTTTTTAAGAACATGCCGGATAATATTGGGACTTTTGAACACCACGACAAAGTAAGACACACACCTTTTCTATTAGACTTAGAGAAAATTGAATAATGTAGTAAATTAATTAAAAAGTCTCTCATTTTTTATAGAAATTACAGCAATATAAGCCCAAAACACACACATTTGCTAAATATCGAATATGTTTGAACTAAGTTTAACGTATGTTGCTAAATTACTCCGTACCTGGTCAATGCTGATAGTCCAGCTGACCAAAATGTACCACACAGGTGAGAGGCGCTTATGGCGCCAGATGCCACGTTTTGGAAACTATACGTTTATTGTACTTTAAAGCAGAATTTACCATTTCTAGTCCGCTTTGCTTGTAGTTGTAAAAAGTCCCTGAATAAGCTACCAGGTGACTCTCAACAAAACAACAACACAGCGTCAGGTCTGTCTGCAAGATAACAAAATCAATAGTAGACCATTAAACAAAGCAGTTTACCATGACTTATGTGGAGTTTCCTCATCCATGGATATATCTGAGGCTGTGCTGAGTCGGTGACATTTTGTGGAGTTGTCGGTGCGCTTCCCGCAGGCTTCTCTTCCTCGAGGGGGGAAGCTTTGGACACACAGTCCCGACTGAGCAGCAGCGTGCCTCCGTTCGAGCTCGAGCACGGGGTTGAGCACGGGGTCGTTATGGAGTTCTTCACGGCTCTGTGTTGAGATTGCGTCTCGGGCACCGGGGACGAGCTTGCGACAGAGGAACACGGTAGAGGGTCAGGTGGAGGCGATAGAGACGAGTTCCCGGTGTTGCTGGCGGACTGGTTGTACCTGACAGGCTCCACCGAGGGTGTCGTCGCCGCTGAGTGACTCGGGGAGTAGCCCGGTGTCCGCTCGCTGCCCACAAAGTGTCCGGTGCCGGTCCTCCCGACTGTTAAGTCCATCCCGTTGTAGCCATAGCCGTACCTGCTGGAATGCATGGCTGTTGAGTCTCTGTATTGCTCGTTTCCCGTACTATGGTCTCCATAATTATGTAACTGGAAGTCCGCGCCATTGGGATAGCGACCGCAGAATGAGTTCACAAAATAGGAGCTCATTTGTTGACAGTTCCACCGTTTGCCTGTTGTAGGTATTGTTGTTGTTGTTGTTTATTTTAAGAGGTAAAATAGCATAAACCTGTGTTCTTGATTTGTGGCTCTTATGGTTTAGCGCGTCCTATAGCACCCTTGCACAATTTATGATGAATTATGGAAATGAGTGGGACATGGACTTGATTCTCTCTTACGTAGGCACCCAAATATGGGGTACGGCGTAGAATCACGTGCTTTTGTTGACCAGTCGTAAATCCTGCTTGGTGACCTCCAGAGGTAAACTCGTGCACACAGGAAATACTGGGTGGGATGGGAAGGGTGCGCGCCACCATGCGCTCTTGGCGAGGAAAGACTCGGAGCCAGGGTTTGGGTGTTTTGGATTGTCATGGTGCGCCATCCTCTGGCTCAACTGCGGCACTGCCTGTCTGCGGAGCTTTGTGAGGCGTGGGCTCCACACGGGGTCATTCAGAGGTTAACGACCATTGCGGCAAAAAACCAACGGGCTCCTAAACAATACAACAAGTGACATGCTGAGAGTGCAATGTCTGCGATGATAGTGTACAGAAATAATTCGATCAGAATCTGTTATGCATGTTATGATGGGCGATGGGTGTAAATAGTCTGTGCAGTTAATAGAATAAAAGCCCATTCAAAGCAGGGCTGCGTTTCTCTCTCTCTCTCTCTTTCTCTCTCTCTATCCAGACTTTTTTCTTATAATCATAAAATAACGGAACGACCTCATGTGAAAAAAGACTAATGAATAAATGTTTGAGGGGGAAAAGATAAAAGCTAAACATCACATTACCGAGTAATGCCACAGAGACTGCTCTGCTCAAGGCCGTTTTTTTATGCCACTTTGAAAAATTAATAACCATAAATATAGGCGTTATATGAACAAACAAATACCGTTTAAAAGCATGTTAAAATTTAACGATGCAAAACAACAGGCGTTCAGATGACAGCTGATGCAAGCCTTTTGTGCGCAACCCGACGTTATTTCGGTTTTATTTAACGGCGACTCTTTTGTCATGATGACTTTTAAACAGTCAATCTTACCAAGTTGCAGTTCTGGTATATTTTTTTTTTGTTTGCTGGGGAAGATATCAGCACAAGCTCGATAATAACATTTCATTTCTTTTTATATGCAGCTCCGAGCTTTGTTCTGTCACTTTGGAATTGAAAGAAACAAGAAAGACAAAAACTAAAAATGTGAAATTATTGAAAAACTAAAATTGGAAGCAATTTCTGCTTAAAAATGAAGCCGATATTTTTGAAATGGTTAAAAGAAGAAGTGCAATATTCAATCAATATTTCACTTTTTTTAATAAATGTAATAATACAGCATATTATTTGAACTTTTTCAGATGCTTTCTCTGTTTAGAATTACAAGGAGTAGCATCCGTGTGATTTCTGGTTCATTCTTTTTCACTTATAAAATACTAAAAATGGATCATATGTGGTGTTGCAGTAGGATTCTATAACTGGTCATTTACGAAGCATCGAAGCCCCAAAAAGTAGGAAAAGAAAGTTGATTTTACCAATAAAATAGTTGTTAAAAGTTGCTCTTTCAGTCGTGAAATCGTCTCTACTTTTAAAAACCTCGACAGACTCGGCCCAGCTACTGTAACAGAACCAGAGCACCTATATTTAAAAAAAAAAAAAAAAAAAAGGTTCATCAACTACCAACAATTCCCTCTAAATGAAATCAGAAAAACAGGACCTCAGCACAGAGCACCGACGTCAAGCCTAATGAAAGGCAGCGTCCGGCGCTCTCCGCTTGACTTTTCTTCTTGTGGAATTTTTATGGCACCTTCGAAGCCCTCTCGAAGGCACTGACTTGTCCTCCGGTTTCCTCCACATGCCCTTTCCCCCGAGCAGCCCGTTCCCACCCAGCACAAGCCCGTTCCTGTGTTACTGACAAGAACATTGCGATACATTATTTATTCCGTCCCAGGTATGTGTGCCCTTTGCGGTAACAGACCCCCAGAAGGCACGGTGTTAGTAAGGGTGAATACCGGCCTCACACACACACA